TTTGCATTTTGTTAATGTATATAGTGCTTTAAAATATTTTTTAAGTGTTTAAAAAGTACTTAAAAAGGTGCTTATTTTTTGTTGAGAGATTTGGCTACGCACACTGATTATTGGTATTCATAAATTCAGCACCCATGTTATTGTTACTTTTGAGAAGAGTAACTTTATTTAATATTTTTTGAACCTTTACAGGAAGAATGTCAAAACTATATTAGAGTTTTAGCAAGGAAATCTGAGGACACAATTTTAGTTTGTGGTACAAATGCCTTTAAACCTCTTTGTCGGCATTACTTGCAGGTTTGTCTCACCTTTTAGTATTAAAAATTTTATTTTTTGAAAGTATTTTTTAAATTTGTTTGAATTGATTATCGAATTGTTTTTATTTAGGATGCTGATTACACAATGGTGAAAGAGGCTTCTGGTGAAGGTCTGTGTCCGTACGACCCGACTCACAACAGCACTGCCATATTTGCAGGTAAATAATAAATATGAGTGTATTTTTCTTTTTTGAAACATCGATTTTTGTGACTTTTTAAAATAATTTTCAATTTATTTTTAGAAAACAAAAGTCATTTCATAAGTGTCTCGTTGATAGAAAGTATAACATAAAATTAAATTAAAAGAGCCTTACATTTGTCCCTACTTTCAATTTTTGTTGACCACTTACTACAGTAATTTTATTTTTCTTATTTATTTTTTTTAAAAAAATTTCATTAATTTATTTTAATTTTACATTTCGTTACTGTTTTTGTAAATGAAATGCAACTCTAAATTAAGTAATTCAACTCAATTTTTTAATTTAAATCCTGAATCATAATATACTTAATTAATTTATTTTTTTGTTTGTTTATATTTTATGTACCTAATATTAGTAGCTTTAAGATGTGAGAAATTGTTCGTTTAAAGACCCTGCTTTAATAATAGTCTGAAAATGTTTTAATAAATCTTGTTTTTTAATTCAATAATTCAGATTTATATACATTTTTTTTTTAATTAATTTTTTCTGGAGTTTTTAGAAGTGTGAAGAATGTTACCTTCTTTTCTATTACATTACATCTGTATGACAAGCTCTGCAAGTTATATTACTTAAGAAATTGAATACCAGAGCTTTAGGGTGAATGCCCATTTTCAGCTCTGAATCGGACTACATTATTCGAGTTTGCTTACTTGTCGAAATTAATTAAGAATTTTTCTTTCATTATCCATTCAATTTCCTTTTTTTCCACCAAAAATTATTGTACTTTTATTCAGTTGTTTTTTTTCTTTCTTTTTTTTCCAAAAACGAATTAAAATTATTTTATTTAATCTTACTCTCCTCTGTCCATGCTAACATAAAAAAGGATCAATTAAAGAAAGAAAAGGTAGAGTAAATATGTTCTGTGATTGTGACCTTCTGTCTACCCTTATTTCTTTGTTTAAATTTAATTTTTTAAAAAAAATAATACTAAAACTTTATTAATCTATTTACATTTTTTCAATCTGTTTCATTCTCCCTACCTAAACTTCTCACCCCATCCCCAAAACACCAAGTAAAAATACAATCTACTTTGAATAACTTCTGATCTATGTGTTTTTCTGTCTCTGTGATCTCTTGAATTCATCATTCAGTGAAATTTCTTA